ATAGTCTTAGTAAAATAAGGAGGTAGATTTACTACTAGCCTTATAAATTAATTATAAATATAGCGCTAGGTAATTACCTAGCGCTAGACTTTTATAATCTTAAATAAGGCTATATAAAATACTACTTAGTAATAATAATCTTAAATTAAATAGCTAGCCTTATATAAGATTTCTACCTATATAGCTACTACTAAGATACTATTAAATTAATAATAAAGGGCTTCTTTATAATACTAAAAACTAAATATTTAATTACACTAAAAGTTATTAAAGCTAACTAAGAAATCCTACGCCTTAGGTAACTTATAGATATACTTTTTAGTTATAAGATCTTTATTAAGCTATTACTAGTAAGTACCTAGGCTTAAAATAAAGGCGCTAAGTAAATTACTATAATTATTAAACTTAAGATATAATATATATATATTAATATAAAATTACCTAAAGTCCTATAGCCTAAAATTATAACTATAGCTACCTATTTTTATAATTAAACGCTATTAGTAGCTTAAGGGTAGAAATTACTATATTAAATATTTTACTTATATTTTATACTTAATAAGTATACTAAGCCTTTACTAATAGTAAAGCTAGATCTTTTATATTTATAAGCCTATAGATACTAAGTGTATATACTAATAGTAGATATATAACTATTATAAAACTACTAGTAAAAGCTTACTGCTTATATATAGATTAGATTTCTTATTAGATATATATTTAGTAATTTATATTACGTCTAGTATTTAGTATAAAATAAGGTCTTTACTATATATAACATAATATTTAATAAAAAATAACTCTTTAATAGATTAATAAATAGATTATTAAATAAGCTTTATAAAGCTAACCTTATAGTAATTTAATAATAAATTAACTAGCTAATAGTAGCTAGTAATTAATCCTCTTTATATAAAGAAGCTAATAAGGAAATAGATAAAGTAATTAAGTATACTAATATTACTTTACTAGACGCTTAGTAATTAAGTAATATACTAAAATATTTATATAAGTAGGTAAAGTTTACACTTCTCCTTACTTTACTACTATTACTACTAAGCGCCTTTTTTATAGCCTTTATAAATATTAATATAAGGAGTAGTAAAATAGGAACTAATAGCTTTAAATTAATTAATCTAATAGCTAATAGCTAAATAATTACTAATAGTAAAATAATTATTAAGTAAATACCTAAATTAATAGCTAATAGCCTATTAATTAATTTATTAATAGCTAATAGCCTATAAGCTAGTAACTTACTAAGAACTAATAGTTCTAAAATAATAAAGATAGTAATCCTTTATACCTTATCTTATCCCTATATAATTAGTTTATAAGATATTACTAAGTATAAAAAAGTGTTAAATTCCTAAGTAACTATAGCTAGCCTATTAAGTAATCTCTAGCTAGTAGTAACCTTACTTAAAAGCGTTATAAAAGGATATTATTTTACTATATATATAAGTAGTTAGATTACGCTAAGGACTTTATTTAAGGCTGCTTTTCTTATAAGGCTTACTTTATAATAAAAGATTATAAACTATATATAAGGTAGCTTATAAGTAATAATATAGTTTAGTATATTATAAAGTTAACTAATAAGTAAAAATTACTACTTTTAGCTAAAGTATACCTAAGGCTACTTAATTAACTATATAACGCTTAATAAGTATAATAATTATAAAGATATTACTAGTAAGTTACTAGTATATAATAAAGGCGTTACTAGAACTTATATACTAATAAGTACGTATTAGAAGTTACTATACTTTTTACTAATCTATAGATAGTTAAAAGGCTACTTATATAAAAAGTAATTTAAAGACACTAAAATAGTATATTTATATAGATATAAAATATTAAAATCTTAAGTAATAGTACTATAAGTAGTAGCTAAAAAGTATTAAGTCTTTAGCTACTACTAGGTATATACTTATAAGCTTAATAAATATAGTTAATTAAGTAAATTTAAAATAAGACTTATTATTTATAGTAACTAATAAGTAAAGGATTTATAAGATACTTATATAGCTATATTAGTAAGTATATTATTTAAAATACTTATAGTAATAGCTACTTACTTTAACTTAGAACTACTTTAATATAATATAGTAAATACGTTTATTTATACTACTATTAATAAGGTAGTATTTATAAAGATACCTCTAGGCTACTAAATTACTAGCTAGATCTTCTAGTTATTAAAAGCACTTTATAGGCTTTAATAATCTCCTTTACTATAGTAAAAGCACCTTAAAGAAAGGCTTACTATATAAGGATTTTACTAAGTAGTAAGTTATTAGTAAGGGCTTTAACTCTTTCTAGCGCTATTTTATAAAGAGACTACTAGTTAAGATTATTCTAATTACCTATTATTTTACTAGTTACTATATATAAATCTAGCTAGAAGCTAAGTAAACTACTTTATAAAGTAGTAGTAAGGTTATTAAACTAGATTAATAGCTATTAGTAGTTAGGTAAATTAACTTATACTAATTTACTATAGGCTATGTTTTATTTATTTAGCTATATAGTAAGATCTTTCTTAGTAGTTAAGGCCTTTTACTAGGCTTTTATTAATATTTTACTATATTTATTATAGGTATACTCTATATACTCTTCTTTAGTTATTCTTACTACTATACTAAGCTTATTAAGCTATTTAGCTAGTAATTTATTAGACTTATAATATTTTTCTTAAAGATTTATAAATATAGTAAATTTAACTATATTAGCTATATCTTTAACGTCTTTTTACTAAGTAGTATACTTATATACTTCCTTATAATAGTAGCTTATCTAGCTATTTAAGTATATAAGATTATATAAGTTAAGATTATTTAGTGTTATTATATATTTAGTTTTATATATAAGCTTATTAGGTATAGCTATAATAGCTTTACTTCTTACTATATATAGCTATATAGTTACTTACTAGGATATCTTAGTAATTACTATAGCTATAGTAACTTCTTAGTAAGTAGTAAGCTTATCCTTAGTTAAGGCGTATAGATATTACGTTATAAACAGCTTTATTAGTTTCTTTAGATATATCTTAAGGATTAATTAGTCTGCTACTATAACCTTTAGGTTAATATACTTCTAGAGATTATAACGCTTTGCCTTTACTTAGATAACGTTAAGCTATATAAACTAATTACTACGTAATTATAAGATAGTTACCTTATTATTATAGTTTTTATTAATTATTATAATAGTATTTAATTAGTAGATAGGTATATTAGTTATTATAGATATATATATTAGACTATTAATTATTAAATAGTAGGGATTATAATAGTTAATTAATTAATTATGTTATGTGTTATGTATTTATAGTGAATTACTATAGAAATAGGGAAAACCCCCTATTTCTTGGTTGGGAAATCCCTGGCTAATTCCTGGCGATATTATTGGTGGACTTGCCCCGAAAGTGGGGCCAATTCACCGCCTATTCCCTGACGATTCGCCGTAGGGCAACCGTGCATTCGCCGGTTAATTCACGTGTAATTCCGCCACATTTGACAACTCTGATCTGGCGGGCCCTTCTTAGGCAGGCGCTACAACTCTTACGCTCTCTAGCTAGCTAGAAAATCCTGTTCTATAGGTCCTGTCAGGCAGGCCCCTATATATATAGTAGGGCTGTACGCTAGCTAGGCGCACGTAACAGCAGTTATGTTAGAATTTAAACCTATAACTAAAGGAAGTAAGATAATTATAAGATAATTACTTAGTTAATAACTAACTAGATAAAAAGGTCTAGTCTTACTTCCTCTAATATTAGAGGAATAAAATAAAAGCGTACTTAAGTACTTTAGGTCTCTATTTCCTTATAATAGTAAGAATTAGCTAATAATAAAGTAAAACTTTACTACTAAATAAAAAAAAATATATAGGATATTAAAAGATAATTAATAAATAAATAGGCTATATATAGATAATATTTAGTGTAGGCTTTATAGTACTTAATTACGCTACTAGTGCTAAGAGGGTGTATTAAATATAGTAAAATTATATATAAATTTACTAGTAAATATATAGTTACTTTATAGTAAATTATTAGGGAATAGGTAGTAAATTAGCCCTACTTCTAATAGTAACTTTACTAATAATATTACTAGGATTAGCTAGGGATTTCCTAACTAAGAAATAGGGGTTTTTTCTTATTTCTATAGTAATTTATAATAGATATAGAACATATAATAGAATTAATTAAGTAACTATTTATAATCCCTACTATTTAATAATAGGAAATCTAGAGCTAACAGTAGGTAGGAGGGAGGAAATCTAATACTAACTATAAGTTAATTTGCTAGCCCTTGCTACCTAACTTGCTGCTTACGTACATGACTAACCCCTGCTTTTACTACCTCTAGATCCCTACTTCTGCCAGCCTACTATGCCCCTTACGGCGGCCGCAATACCCCTTACCGTTAGCCTGCCTGCTAGTGGTTTACGAAACTGATGAGTGCGGACGGTAGGTAAACTACGGACTACCCTAGGTACCTAAACACTGATCACACAAGGCAGCGACTCTGAACCCACTATGGTCCACACAACCCCCCCTGCACATTCGTCCTCAGCCCACGTAACCCTCTCTCTCTCGCGCGCGCGCCCGAAGCTGTCCACGCCTAGCCTAGGTAGTCCGTCCTGAGCCGACGCCGCTGAAGCCTGCTGCACCTCCGACTGGACTACTACCACCTCTTATGCACCCGCAGCCAACGCCGCACCTACCCTGAGGCTGCTGCATCTGCGCAAACAACCCGTTGGACAGACACGCACCCAACCTTTCATCCGTCGCCTCTTCATCCACAATCTATGCATACGCGCAATCCTCTTGAACCTCATTTCTTACGCTGACGACACAAGACGATAACCAACCGACTTTGCGATTGCGATCGATTACCCACCCACCTTGATAACCAAGTGCCCACCCTCCAGACGAGAACCGCCCCCTCCGGTTTAGCTCCCCGCCAACCCAACGCACCCAGCTTTCCAAGATGATGGGCTGGTGGTCCAGCTCGGCCAACACGGCCTTGGATGAGCAAATAGAGAAGGCAACTAGCAGCAGTTTGTACGACTCCTTGCCATCACTTGCGACGCCCTTTCTAACACGGTTACAGGGAGGATATCGCCCTGAATCTTGAGATCTCTGATGTCATCAGGTCAAAAACAGTTCAGCCCAAGGAGGCCATGCGCTCCCTGAAGAGGCGCATCGGCAACAAGAACCCAAACACCCAGCTAAGCGCTTTGAACGTAAGCCACCCTTGCTGCCTGCTCTTCCTTGGCCAAGCTAACCCGTGCCGCAGCTCACCGATACATGTGTTAAGAATGGAGGCACCCACTTCCTTGCTGAAATCGCCTCGAGAGAGTTCATGGACAACCTCACCTCACTCCTCCAAGCCGTCGGACCCGCCGCCGTCAACCACGAAGTAAAGCAGAAGATCCTCGAGCTGATACAGTCTTGGGCTGCCGCCACCGAAGGACGTCACGATTTGGGTTATATCGGGGAGGTTTACAAGACGTTGCAGAGAGAAGGCCACCAGTTTCCTCCCAGAGTAAGTGTCGCCAGCAGCATGATTGATAGCAGCGCGGTAGGTCATCGTCCGTCCCAACCGTTGTACGGCCCCCCCAACTGACCGGCTTCAAAGCCCCCTGAGTGGGTTGATTCAGATGTCTGCATGCGATGCCGAACCCCCTTCACCTTTACGAACCGAAAGCACCACTGCCGAAACTGCGGCAACTGTTTCGATCAGCAATGTTCGGCCAAGACTTGTCCCCTTCCGCACCTCGGCATCATGCAACCTGTTCGTGTCGACGACGGCTGCTACGCGAAGCTCACCGATAAGTCTTCCAAGGCAGGTGCGCCCTCGCCCCTGCCGCAAGACCGATCTCCCACCTATCCTTACAAGACCCGAAGTACGTCTGCTATGCAGCCGCGCAACGCTCGTGTTGACGACGCCTTCGACGAGGACCTGAAGAAGGCTCTGGCTATGAGCTTGGAGGAGGTGAAGGGCTACTCTCAGGGATACGTCGCCCCCACCGCCAATGGCCCTTCAGGACCAAAGGTTAACGGCAACTCCAAGCCTGCAGCATCGCATGGCGCAGACGAGGACGACGACGACCTCAAGGCTGCGATTGCCGCTTCGCTGGCTGATATGGAAGAGCAGAAGCAGAGGCACGCAACTGCCTTGAAGGAACAGACCTCGAGTGCTGGTCCCAATCCTACACAGCAGTTCTCCTTGCCCAGGAACGACTACGAACTCACTCCGGTCGAGGCCGAGAACATCAATCTTTTTGCAACTCTCGTCGATCGCCTACAGACGCAACCCCCCGGCACCATCCTGCGTGAGCCCCAGATTCAGGAGCTTTACGACAGCATTGGCACACTGCGGCCGAAGCTTGCTCGCACCTATGGCGAGACCATGAGCAAACATGGTGTGTATGATTCAAACCTTGTCACAAGCCGCTGCTAACATTTGCCCAGACACGCTTCTTGACCTTCATGCCAAGCTCTCGACCGTGGTTCGCTACTATGACAGAATGCTGGAGGAACGCCTCTCAAAGGCATACAGCCAACACACCGTTGGGGGCTACAACCTTCCTACTCCTCGTGGGCCCTCTGGTGCATACCCTTCTCTGCATGCGAGCGCGCCAAGTAGTACTGGCCCTGCCGAGAACTTCTATACCGGCTCACAACAAGTGAACTACGGCCGTGTACCACCCCAAGAATACCATCAACACCCGCAACACACACCTCAACCCCAGTACGCGACTTATGACAAGCGCGCCTCCATGGCTGGTCCACCTACAGGCTCTTACCCTCCCCAGGAGCCCCAACAGACAGATAGCTGGAGGAGCGGAGCTGGTTCCGCCCCCAATGGACAGTATACGCCGCAGCAGCCGTATGCTCCTAGTGAGCCACCACAACCAGGCCATCAGAGCCACCCTGTCCAGCCTGCTGGAACTCCGTCTGCTGATCCTAGTGCTTCTTATTATTTCAACCCTCAACAACCCAGCGCGCCCCCCTCTGCCCCGCCCGCTGTAGATCCCAACCCTTCTCCCTACCCAAATCTTCAACAGTCGATGCAGTACCGACAGTCGATGTCTCAGCAGGCGACACCTGTTCAAGCAGCTGCTCAGCCCGCGCAGCAACAAGGCCCGCCACAGCAGCAGAGCTACTGGCAACCATCGGTTCCACAGCAATCTGCACCTCCTCAACAGCAATGGCAAGGCCAGTACAACGATAACAATAACGGATATACCCAGGAGTCGTTCCCGTCTGCGCCACAGAACGCACCGAAGCAGCCGGCGGTGGAGGAGAGTTTAATTGATCTTTGAAGGATGACATGGTGGCTTGTAGGCATGCAGGTCTGCAGTGTTGGTTCTTGGCGTTTCATGGTCACAAGGGGAGCCGAACACAAGCATATTCGGACTTGAAAATGAGCTGTAAAGTGATTTTTTTTGTTGGATGATATGCATCCCTTGTACGGCGTTCTTGCTGGGACAAAGTTTCAGTACCCTAAATGTGGACTGGTATTAACAGACTGAACAAAGACTAATATTCTCCTGAAAAGATATCTTTTCCGATCTTGCGATGTGTTGTGCGCCCACCCTCGTGAAACCTGAAGGTAGACGCCAAGGATGACAAGAGTGTGGTGAATAGGTAATGAACTAAAGAGGGACGGGAGCAGGAGCCAATCCTTGCCGGACTTGGACATGTCACAGGGCCCCAGGGAGTAAGGCCAATCCTGAAGACATTTCTGCCTGTCATGTGTACCCATCAACTCTGTCTTTGTCAACTGTGGCAGCAGACAAATAGTAGAGACCGCATGTCTATGTCCATACAAAGGCTTTGCATCGCCAGGAAGCAGCTTTGTGAGGTACGACAATTTAGGCGCTTGTCCAGCATCAACAGCCCATTGCGTGTCTACTTCTGTGTCTTGTCACAATGAACTTTACAGTCAAATCCAAGCCTTGACACTGGGCTTTGAGTGACAGCTTCTGCTTCATATAATGGGGGGGGGGGGCTTTGTTGGCGGGAGGCTTGAACTCGATACTCGGTCTGGTGTTTGTTGAGTAGAAGACGGGCAGCCTGCAGCGGCGAGAGTTCCACTACCTGGGATGAACAATGGGATATCACCTCTCAGTTATCATTACCATAATCGCCAATATTACAACGTTTGAGCAACCCAATGATCTACCATAGCTACGTTTCCAGGCTGGCCAAAGTCGGCTGTGGCACTAATTGTCCTCGATTCTGTTTTGGTAAGAGCCACTGGTCTAGGAGAAGCATCGATGGGCCGTCGCATTAAGCTAGCTGAATCAATTGCGAATGGCATTAATGGAAGTTGAAGAAATTCGGACGAATCTTCACCCAGCTAAGCCCCTCGTAGAACCTGACCAGACGCGTCTTGCTTCCATTTTCACAGGGCCTTTGGATTTCGGCGTAACAGTGAGCAGCCGACCATAGAACTTCTCTTACATATTCCTTATCCGACTCGGAGATATTGTCAAGATTGATGCCAAACCAGGAGATTTGCTGGACCAGTCACCTCAGGACTGGTCGCTCCCCTAGGTACTGTATGGGCCGTTCGCTGAGTCACACAGACCGTGGTCCAGCCTCTTTCGGCATAACCATTATCAGGAATTCCGTCAGCTGTAACCACGCCAGCCTGCTTCTTCAACCATTGGCTCCCCTTGAATGCACCTGGAAAAAGAGGGGGAACCCCCAGTTCGGCAACCCGAAACTACGCCGGCCAACCACCACCGGCGCAAGTCTCCCGAATCTCCACTTTCCGCCGGTCCTCGGCGCCGGAGGACTCATACGGCCAGGGAGGTACTTTATCTTTGCTAGCATGCAGCTTGAAACCAGAAACGCGAGGGCGCCGCAGCAGCCCACGTGGATCCATTCCCATCCCTCTCGTGTCCTCCTCCCGCCGCGGCGTGCATCCGGTTCGGCTTTTTGAGTTATCTCCAAAAGGCCCAGGCGAAGCCCACCCATCCCAAACAAGGAATTTTCCCGCTCGACGCCGGAGTCCATTACGTAGCTGCTTTCTGCTTCCCACACCGACGACAACTGCTTATTTATAATTGGATCGTGAACCCCCAAGAGACCCGGAACTTCAACCTCGTGCCTCTGCGTTTCATTGTGAATACATCGTTAGACGGCATACGCCCTTTCAGAGAAAACAATTCGCAGCATCGTGCGGCGCCCAATCACTCTCTCATTTCTTTCTCATCTCATCGCAGACCACCATAGACTCGTAGAACACCAACGCACTCACCCCTCATCTCATCCCGCGCCACACTAGCAAGGATGCCCGTCCAAATCCACCTCGTCCGCCACGCCCAGGGCTTCCACAACCTCTCGCTCGAGAACGAGGCAATGCGAGACCCCCTCCTTACGGACCTGGGCAAGCAGCAGTGCGCCGCCCTCCGCGCCGCCTTCCCCTACCACGCCCGCCTCACCCACCTCGTCGCCAGCCCCCTCCGCCGGACGCTGCACACCTGCCTCCTGGGCTTCGCCTCCGACGCCGCCGCCCCCGTCGGCAGGCCCCTCAAGGTCCTCGCCCTGCCCGAGGTGCAGGAGGTCTCTGACGCGCCGTGCGACACGGGGTCCGCGGTCGCCGACATCGAGGACGAGTTCGCCGGCCGCGTTGACTTCAGCAGGGTCCCCGAGGACTGGACCGACAAGACGGGCCCCGCCTCCCGGTGGGAACCGACGCTGGAGAAGCTAGAGAAGCGGTCGGCCGATGCGAGGCGGGCGCTCAGGGAGCTGGTGGGGGATGTGCAGGGCGACGACCACGTCGTGGTTGTCACGCACGGCGGCATCCTGCATTTTTTGACCGACGATTGGTCCGGCATTGGTGCCAAGAAAGGTACGTTTTTGTTTTGTCTTTCTCTTCATCTCACGGCATGGCATCAGGCACAATCGGAAGGAATCCTCCCAGGCGGCGTGAGTGAAACAGGTTACTGACCGAGCACACAGCAACTGGCTGGGAAAACACCGAGTACAGATCGTACGAATTCGCGGATCCCACGGGCCAGGACCCCAAAGCGTCCCTGAAGGAAACGCAGGAGAGCTGGGAGCGTCGCCAGGGCGAAAACACTCGTCCGACGCCGGAGCAACAGGCCGAGTTGAGGGAGACCTTCTACCGCGAGATGGAGCCCTACCTCAAGTACAGTCCCGAGCGTGGCTGGATGCAGTGAAGAAAAGGGGGTGCACGCATCAGTCGGGGAAACGGAGGGGGGAAGGACGGACTTGGTGGTCTCGACATTGGGGCCTCTCTATTTGCATAGTACACGGCTTGGTATAATCCCAAACATCATAGACCCATCTAGAACCTATTTGCCGTTTTACTTTTAAAAGTCCTCCTCGCCAGACCCGGAAACAATGACGTTGTTGACCTTGAGCACCATTCTGCATAATTGCGTCGCGAGCTGGAGTTGCTGCTTCTTGCTGATAAGGGGGTCGATGACGAACGCATCCTTCATGTCGTTGCTTCCGCGGGCCATGCAGTCCACACCGAGCTTGCCGCGAGCGTCAGGGCCTGCCTTGACCTGCTGGCTCTTCACCTCGGCCAGCGTTGCGATAGGGTTCAGACCGCTGTTCTCAGCCAACGCCATCGGGACGGCGTCGAGAGCCTCAGCGAACGCGCGCATGGCATACTGCTCGAGACCGGGGGTCTTGACAGCGGCGTCCTCAACCGCCAGGGAGCAGGCGATCTCGGCAGCGCCACCACCGTAGACGACACGGTTGTCCTTGACCAGGTTGCGGACGACGCAAAGGGCATCGTGAAGCGAGCGCTTAGCCTCATCGATGATCTATCACGGAGTCAGTAATCACATCGTTTGTTTAAAAGCCAGTCCACAACTTACCATCTTGTTGCTACCGCGGACAAAGACGGTCACCGCGCGGGTGTTGGCGCACTCCTCGATAACCAGCATCTTCTCTCTTGTGGTACCAAAGGTCATTTCTCTGACGATACCTGCAGTTCCGAGCTTCTCGGGCTTGAGGTCCTCGAAGCGAGGCACGATACGGCCGTTTGTGGCGATGGCTACCAACTCGATTTCGGGACCTCCAACCCACCGCACGGCGGGGAGGTTGTTCTGGAGCAGAAGGTGGTTTGCCTCGTCGTCGAAACCCCACTGGCAAAGAGCGAGGTTGGCGCCAGAGTCCTTGATTTGCTGGATCATTTCGATAAACTTCTCGCGCTCGTAGTTTTGCAGCTTCTTGAACTCTTCGACGCTGGTGATGTCAAGCTTGTGCTTGGTCTTGGGCTTGGGGGGCTCGAAGGCACAGGTCAGGATGGCGATCTTGGCATCCTTGACCTCCGAGGGCATCTGCGGATGCGAGAAGTCCTTGTCGATAATGACACCCTTGACGAGCATAGTATCCTCCAAAGATCCTCCAACCTTGCCGTCGACCTTGATCAGCTCGAAGTCGACGTCTCTCCGCTCCAGATCGGCCACCGACAGGACGGCGTCTACTGCGATCTGAGAGAACTGGTCGTGTGCCTTGGAGACGATCTTGCTACCCAAACTTGTCCTTGCCACCTTCAACAGGTTTCCTGTGTCTTCTTTGCTGAACTCGATTACGTCTGAGATCTTATCGAGCTCCGACACGGCAATATCACAGGCCTGGTCATACCCGTCCGCGATGCGAATGGGGTGAATGCCCTTGTCGATCAGCTCCGCCGCCTGCTCCAGGAGAGCTCCGGCGAGAACAACGACGCCAGTGGTACCATCGCCGATCTCGTCATCTTGCGACTTGGACAGCTCTACCAACAGCTTGGCGACGTGGTTGGAGATCTCCATCTGTTGCAGGATTGTGGCACCGTCGTTCGTCACTGTGATGTCTCCGTCGGGGGAGATGAGGATCTTGTCGAGACCGCGGGGGCCGAGGGAGGTCTTGACGATGTTCGCGACCGTCCTGGCGGCGAGGATGTGGTTCTTGACGGCTTCGTTGCCATATTGTCTCTTCTTCTTTCCTTGGCTGTGGGGCAATCAGCATAATACCCCTTTATTGGGCCGCAGGTAGTATGGGTAGAACCTACTCTCTGACGACGATGAAGGGGCGGCCCTGCTCGTCCTTCATGACGGCCGCTGAAGCACATCTCATTAGCATTTCCATTGCGGAGCTCATAGTCATTCTGACGCTTACCATTGGCCATATCAAGGTCTATGTATGTTGTTAGCGGCGTGCAACACAAACCAGGAGGGATGCCACATACTCATAGCCATGTTGAAGGTATTCGCACTTCACTGGGAGTTCGGGATGGTAGTGCGATTCAACTGGAAGTGACGCCGAGGGGGGAATGGAGGTATCGTGCGTTGAGGGGGGTTGAGCTCCAAGGACCGGGTCGTGGTGGACCAAAATTTCTGAATAATTGGTGGTGCCTACCATTCTGGGCCACCAGAAGCTTCGGTGCCCGGGGTGGCAGATAATCCGGGAGCTCACCGCCTAAGATATCGGAGAAAGGCCTGGACAGCACCAAGCAATACCCCGCCATTCGACGTGGTTGCCCCTCCATGACCAAAGGGCCCCACATCCCACTCCATGACCAGTGCAGGTGCCGTCATTTACAAGTTTCCAACTATCACAGCAAAGAAGTCCGAGTCACCGCTTTCAGTGCATCATTCACCCGACGGAAAACCCCGATCTGGTACGGGATTCAATAACGATTTTTATTCCTTCCGATCCTGAGAACTTCAGTCTACGACATCTCCAAACTTTCACCACTTTCCCAGTCGCGCCAGTCTCAGGAGAGTCCTACCGTAGTCAAAATGTCGCGCCACCAGGCAGTCCGCAACCTTGACTACGAGGAGGCCCTTGACGAGTATGAAGGCGAGGAAGACTTTGAGGAGAACGAGGCCGATCAGCTAAGCCCCGAGGATCGCGAGGCTATGAATGTAGGGACCGCAACAGTGCAAAGCGCACTCGGCCCTGACGGCGACAAAGTGACTGTGCAGCAAATTCAGGATGCGCTGTGGTACTACTACTACGATATCGATAAGACGGTGTCTTACTTGCAGAAGAAGTTAATTGCACCACCGCCAGCCCCAAAACAGGAGCCCAAGAAGGCCAAGGATGGTAAGTTACATTTCTATACGCATGTTACTCATTTTTCATGTCAGGTAGCGGCAGGAGCAGAAGTTGAGTGTTTGGCAGATGGTTTTGGTCTTGGGGGCATCAATGGTGAGATTGCGAATTACGACGACACAGCATCAACTTCAGAGTATCCCATTCGCAGAGTGGCCTCTCTATCCCCGGCTTCCTCTTTTCATGGAATATCTTGGACCAATGTGCCCAGCAACCGAAAGGCTGTCTTTGTTCCACCCCGTCCTCTCCCAGGCGGCGTGCTTGGTGGCGGCGAGGGTCCTAAGATTTCCAAACTGCAGGCATTGGCTGCAGCGCGGAAGAAAAAGACGGAGGACGCAAAAAAACCGGACGACAAAGTTGATCGAGCGGAGAAGAGAATGTCGACTTTAGCCCTTGACGAGACCTCAAAGCAAACTCAGAGATCTGGTTCGATCATTCTTGCCAAACGACAGAAGCTGGCGGAAGGCTCCACCTCGGGATCTCGAGCTTCGACGCCTGTCTCGCAGCCGCAACAAGACAAAGCTGCCCCAAACCCGGTCGGCATGGACGTTGACCAGTCTCGTGCGTCGTCTGCTGGATATGGGGAAGATGCTGAGGATGACTGTCTCGTGGTGTCATCAAAAAGACCATCTGCCTTCGCTCAGACACTCTTTGGACCTGCTCATAATGCTGCCGCCGCCTCCCAAATCTACACTCTGCCGTACATGGACTCTTCCACCTTTGTCCCTAGTGCTTTTTCCCAGCCGAGCCCTGATGACATCGTACTTGCTGCTCAGGCGAAAGGTTCGCGTTTTGCGACGACCCAGTAAGACGCTGACTCTAATACCTCCCAGCGGGCACCAAGTTCGACGCTGCTGCTGCCAAGAGCGCCACCAAGAAAGTCGTCAGCAAACCGACAGGTTCCCAGACGCCTACTGGAGAGATGAAACAGCTTCAACTCGACGATTCGGCGGCACCGAAAAACAAGAAACTGGATGTTCTCAAGGAGTTCGAAAAGAGCGAGAACAAGAGAAGCGCTAGCTTCGTGGTAGTCGGTATGTTGCATACTTAGATACCTTCGGCCGGTATACTGATACTCATAAGGCCACGTCGATGCCGGAAAGAGTACCCTGATGGGCAGGCTGTTGTTAGAGTTGAAATATATTGAACAGCACCTCATCGACCGCTACCGACGACAGGGCGAGAAGATTGGAAAGTCGTCATTTGCCCTTGCATGGGTGATGGATCAGCGAGAAGAAGAGCGTGAGCGGGGTGTGACCATTGACATCGCTACGAATCAGTTCGAAACCGATAAGACACGGTTTACTATCCTCGACGCCCCGGGCCACAGAGACTTCGTACCCAACATGATTGCAGGAGCCAGCCAGGCAGATTTTGCGATCCTCGTCATCGACGCTAATACGGGAGCCTTCGAGAGGGGCTTGAAAGGGCAGACCAGAGAGCATGCTCTTCTGCTGAGAAGTCTGGGCGTGCAAAGAGTCATTGTTGCTGTCAATAAGCTTGACATGGTTGGCTGGTCAAAAGATCGGTTCGATGAGATCGCGGAGCAAGTCACCGGGTTTATGAAGGGCAATGGGTTTCAGCTTAAGAACGTCACCTTTGTGCCCATATCCGGACTGAGTGGTGCCAACCTAGTACAGCGACCGGATGATGAAGGTCTTTCATGGTACAAAGGGCCAACATTGATTGAGGCTCTGGAAGATTCTGATCCGATGACGAGGGCGCTCGAAAAGCTTTTCCGGATGTCGATTTCGGAAATCTACAGGACACAGCAGAGCCAACTCACTGTGGCTGGCCGGATTGAGTCGGGCACGGTACAGAATGGCGAATCGTTGATTGTTCAGCCGAGCGGAGAGGCAGCGTCAATACGATCGATCGAAGTGGATGGCGAGGTACAGGACTGGGCTGTGGCAGGACAGAACGTCAACATTGGCTTGTACGGCATCGACCCGATCCATGTGCGCGTGGGCGACATCATCAGCACCAAGGCGGCGCCAATCGAGACGAGCGACACCCTGACGATGAAGGTGCTGGCTTTCGACCACTTGATGCCGATGCCTGTGGACGTTCATCGCGGTCGGTTGCATGCGGCAGGCAGAGTGGGGGCGATTCCGGCTGTGCTGGACAAGCTGACGGGGGCGACGGTGAAGAAGAATCCCAAGATCGTGCAGCCTGGCAAGGTTGCGCGGGTCGTGGTCAAGCTGGAGTCCAAGGTGCCGTTGGAGGCGGGGCAGCGGGTGGTGCTAAGAAGTGGCGGAGAGACAATCGCTGCAGGGCTGTTGGAGTAAACGGTGCAGATATCAAAAAGCAACATGGCGTTGTCCTTAAATAAGGATTTTTAAAAAGGATGTGGTGATGACTGTGACACGATACTTGCAAGCATGGGCCCGCGAAAGAGTGGTCGCATCGAAGCTCGATTAGAGTTGGGCGATGAAGATAGAGTTGGCGACTTTGGTTGAAGCATAGCCAATAGAGATGGATACCCGTGGTCAAAAGAGAGTTGGTTGCCAAATTGAGATACTACGGTATCGGGCCAAAGTTTAACCCCCTCGCCAGGTAAATGTGGCCGTGCTTTTTTTGATTACCTATCCCAGCGACGGTACTTTGAGCTTCTTGTGCACATCTACCATAATTCTGGCCAGTGAGAGTCTCTCGTACGTGGGTCACAATTCCACACTACCTGCTAGGGAGTTTATACTTACCCATCATACGTAGTAGCTCCGAGTCACGACTAAGTACTTGAGTAAGTGAGTTTACGACCAGACTATTCTTGGAGCGATGACTGTCGGGAATGTTGGCCGCCTACACCAGATCTGTTCGGGTTCCGCCCACTCGATCTCGGGGGATGTTGACAGATATGCCATGGGACCCCCCTATGGGCTCAAGGCGACGGAGACGCCGTCGTGTATTCGTACAACTTGGCAGGTGCACACTGTATTCGTACTACACTGCATAACCTGAAGCACTACGGAGTACTCTGTACTAATATGTATGCACACGGAAGAGCATGGGCCAGGAGCCAAAGCTCACCCCTGTTACCCCCCTTCATCTCAGGACGCACTGCTAAGAGCACCTTAAGTGAGGTAAGGCGCCCCATTCTGTCTACACCTTGCCCCTGGCTTGGTTGGCCTTGTCTTTCCCCAAGGTACCTACCGTAATAGTAAACTACCTTCTTTACCCGGAACGCCGCCTGACCGCCCCCACAGCCAGCAAGTGGTGGGAATATTCTGGAAAGGAAAAAGGCATGAATTGGCCCGAGATGAGGAACGGAAGGCAATCAAACGTTTGAGGAGAAGAGGCCACTCTGTTCGTATCCCCAGGCGTGTTGGAAAAGGACAGATTGGCGATATCAGATCGTAGAACTACATATAGTAGGTAGTGCGTGTACGGTAGGTAGAACGGAGGATTGGTTAGATGCAACCAACAACGGACGCGGATGATGAAGCAACGTGGCGATTGTACAGTACATAGTATCTTCTTCTCTTTGGAAACAGGAGGCAAGTGCTGGATGGTGAGTCACTGTCAAGTAAAAAGGAGTCAGACAGCTCAGGCCAAGGCATGGGTATAGCATGTTGTAGAAACCGGCCGAACTTCCATGGAAGGCTGGAGGCGAACTGAACAAGAGACCACCTGTAATTAATGGATGGAAATGTCCAGAATCCGCAGCCTTGGTGGGGTAGACGTACGAATAGAAGGGCAAGGCGCGTAGGTACCTAGGTAGGCAGCACACCTTTGGCGGCTGTCGAGGGTGATGTGCTCGCACGGTACTCCGTACTTAGCTTACTGTGGTCGTGCGACGGAGACTGCTCCCCCGAGCGCCCACCTCTGCCATCCCATCATGTCCGTCCCTGCAGGCATTTGCCGGAGGAGCTGCATTTGTCAAATAGTAGGGATTGTAATAGTTGCTTGATTGATTCTGTTGTGTGTTATGTATTTATAGTGAATTACTATAGAAATAGGGAAAACCCCCTATTTCTTGGTTAGGAAATCCCTAGCTAATCCTAGCAATATTATTAGTAGAGTTACTACTAAAAGTAGGGCTAATTTACTGCCTATTCCCTAATAATTTACTATAAGGTAACTATATATTTACTAGCTAATTTATATATAATTCTACTATATTTAATATACCCCTTTAGCGCTAGTAGTATAATTAATTACTATAAAGCCTATACTAAATATTATTTATATATAGCTTATTTATTTATTAATTATTTTTTAATATTTTATACGTTTTTTTTTTATTTAGTAGTAAAGTTTTACTTTATTATTAGCTAATTCTTACTACTAATTTACTTTAAGGTATATATATTAGTTACTTATATTTAATTAAGCTATAAATATAGTAAATTATAATATACTAAGTGCTTTTATTAATTTATTAGCTATTAATTTAATAGACTTTTTATATTTAATAGTAATTTAATTTACTAGTACTTCTTAGTATAGCTAGTAGTTATAAATATTTATATACTATAGCCTTATCTATAATTAAATAAGTTCCTTAGTAATAAGCCTAATAGTTTAAGTATTATTATAGCTAATATAAATAGTTAGTAGCTATTTAGTAGCTGTCTGCTTATTAAGTAATAATTTAGTTCTTAGTTATATTAATAGTTAAATACTTAGTGTAGTAATTAATCTACTAGTAAAAAGTGCCTCCTTTATAGTAGATAATAAGGCTAGTAATTTAGCCTTAGTACTTAACGTTATTACTATATCTTACTTATTAGCTTACTAAAAGATAAGCCCTTTAAATAGCTTTAGTATATATACTTATAAGCTATAATAGTCTAGTAAGTTATTAGTAAATAAGGTGTCTAAAGTAACCTCTAACGTATTATTATTACTACCTAGCGTTACTTTATATTTAAGGTAAAGGTGCTACGTTTAATAGAGATATCTAAGTATATAATTTATACTTTTTAGTAATCTAGATTTAGATTATAGTTAAAGTAAGTAAGCTAGCTAGCTATAAAAGTAATGTCTAGCTAAGTTATTACTACTATATAAAGGATTATTTTTACTTTTTTTTAATATTAGTTAACCTTTTATAATAAGGCTATATATTTACTAAGTAGTAGCTTAGCCTTTACTATAAGTAATAATTTATTATATTTATATTTATTATTTATTAGTAGTAGTTTTATTATTTTATTATAGTATACTACTTATAAAAGCTAAAGATAATAGTTACTTTAGTTATAAATTACCTTAAGGCTAAAGAACTACTATAATAAGCCTCTACCTTTAAGGTAGTATTATTACTAAAAAGCTACTATCTTATTACTTACTTACGCTTTATTTATATAGTAATAGGCTAATATATAGTTATTAATATAAAAAAAGAATATAATATAATCCTTTTTCTAATAGTAATTCTTACTAAGCACTTAGTAAAAGCCTTATATAATAAGTCCTTCTTTAAGGTGCTTTTACTATAGTAGTAGTAATTACTAAAGCCTATATAGCGCTTTTAGTCGCTAGAGGATCTAGCTAGAGATTTAGTAGCCTAAAGGTATCTCTATAAATACTACCTTATTAATAGTAATATAAATAAATATATTTACTATATAATATTAAAGTAATTCTAAATTAAAGTAAGTAGCTATTACTATAAGTATTTTAAATAATATACTTACTAATATAGCTATATAAGTATTTTATAGATCCTTTACTTATTAGTTACTATAAACTATAAGTCTTACTTTAAATTTAGTTAATTAACTATATTTATTAAGCTTATAGGTATATACTTAATAGTAGCTAAGGATTTAATACCTTTTAGCTACTACTTATAGCACTATTACCTAAGATTTTAATATTTTATACCTATATAGATATACTATTTTAGTGTCTTTAAATTACTTTTTATATAGGTAGCCTTTTAACTATCTATAGATTAGTAAAAAGTAAAGTAACTTCTAATATATACTTATTAGCTTATAAGGTCTAGTAACGCCTTTATTATATACTAGTAATTTACTAGTAATATCTTTATAATTATTATACTTATTAAGCGTTATATAGTTAATTAAGTAGCCTTAAGCGCACTTTAGCTAAAGGTAGTAATCTTTACTTATTAGTTAACTTTATAATATACTAAACTATATTATTACTTATAAGCTACCTTATATATAGTCTGTAATCTTTTACTATAAAGTAAGCCTTATAAGGAAAGTAGCCTTAAATAAAGTCCTTAGTGTAATCTAACTACCTATATATATAGTAAGATAATACCTTTTTATAACGCCTTTAAATAAGGTTACTACTAGCTAGAGATTACCTAATAGGCTAGCTATAGTTACTTAGGAATTTAATATCTTTTTATACTTAGTAACGTCTTATAAATTAATTATATAGAGATAAAATAAAGTATAAAGGATTACTATCTTTATTACTTTAGAACTATTAGTTCTTAGTAAGTTACTAGCTTATAGGCTATTAGCTATTAATAAATTAAGTAAGTTACTAGCTTATAGGCTATAGGCTATTAATAAATTAATTAATAATCTATTAGCTATTAATTTAGGTATTTACTTATTAATTATTTTACTATTAGTAATTATTTAGCTATTAGCTATTAAATTAATTAATTTAAAGCTATTAGTTCTTATTTTACTACCCCCTATATTAATATTTATAAAGGCTATAAAAAAGGCGCTTAGTAGTAATAGTAATAAAGTAAGAAGAAGTATAAATTTTACTTACTTATATAGATATTCTAGGGTGTTACTTAATTATAAAGCGCCTAGTAAAGTAATATTAGTATATTTTATTACTTTATCTATTTTTTTATTAGCTTCTTTATATAATAAGGATTAATTACTAGCTATAATTAGCTTATTAATTTATTATTAAATTACTATAAGGTTAGCTTTATAAAGCTTATTAAGTAATTTATTTATTAATTTATTAAAGATTTATTTCTTATTAAATGTTATATTATATATAGTAAAGACCTTATTTTACGCTAAATACTAGACGTAATATAAATTACTAAATATATATCTAATAAGGAATCTAATCTATATATAAGTAGTAAGCTTTTACTAGTAGTTTTATAATAGTTATATATTTACTATTAGCGTATATACTTAGTAGCTATAGGCTTATAAATATAAAATATCTAGCTTTACTATTAGTAAAGGCTTAGTATACATATTAAGTATAAAATATAAGTAAAATAATTAATATAAAGATTTCTACCCTTAAGCTACTAATAGTATTTAATTATAAAAGTATATAGCTATAGTTATAATATTAAGTTATAGGACTTTAGGTAATTTTATATTGATCTATATATATTACGCCTTAAGTTTAATAATTATAGTAATTTACTTAGTGCTACTATTTTAAGCCTAGGTATTTAATACTAATAGCTTAATAGAGGTTCTATAATTAAAAAGCATATCTATAAGTTACTTAAGGCATAGGATTTCTTAGTTAGCCTTAATAACTTTTAGTATAATTAAATATTTACTTTTTAGTATTATAAAGAAGCCCTTTATTATTAAGTTAATAGTATCTTAGTAGTAGCTATATAAATAGAAATCCTATATAAGGCTTATTACTTAATCTAAGATTATTATTACTAAGTAGTATCTTATATAGCCTTATTTAAGATTATAAAAGTCTAGCGCTAGGTAATTACCTAGCGCTATATTTATAATAGATTTATAAGGCTAGTAGTAAATCTACTGCCTTATCTTACTAAAACTATATAAATTATAGTCTTATATTATTATAGTGTTAACTTAGGTTAGATATACTCTATATATAGTATTTATAATCCTTTATAAAGCCTTAGCACCTAGGTAGCTAAGACGCTTATACTATATTATTATATTACTATAAAGTAGTTATTACTATATTAACGTTATATATTTATTTCTTACTTATAGGGTTAGTAGTAAATTATTAGTAAAGTGTATAGTAAAAGCGCTTTTACTTTCTTAGCTATAGCTATATTACTTATAATATTTAAGTACTTATTAGTTAGCTTATTCCTTAATATAGCCTATAAGGCTATAATCTATACGCCTTAAGTAATTATTACCTAGGCTAATATCTTACTATATACCTTACTAGTATAGCCTTATAAAAGAAATAAGTAATATAGTAAATATACTATAATATATTATATTATATATATAAAGCTTTATTAGTAAGCTATTAGTGCCTTTTAAAGTAATCTCTATAGTACTATACCCTTTAATTATAACTTAAGTAGTACTAGCCTAGATATTATTACTAATTAGGGCTACTACTAATATAATAAACTATAATATATAGTTAAACACATAGTTAGTAGTATTTAAATTAAGTAAGGCTAAATTACCTAGCTTATAGCCTTATAAAGTAGTATAAAAGGCTACCTTTATATAGTATCTACTATATAGTTAATATAACTTAGCCTTAATTCTCCTTACTTATTTAGTAAGGTTAGGACTACTTACTATATACTTATTAATCTATTACTAATATTATATATTTACCTACTAATTATTAAGCCTTTATAACTTATTTATAAAGTAATAAAGTTATAATAAATAGGGATTAAAGTATATAAAGCACTTTACCTTTTTACTTACGCTTTATTAATAGTAATATCTCTTATTAGTTAATTTATTTTCCTTTACTATACTTTTAGTGTACATTAGGCTATTATTATTATTACCTCTAGTTAGGCTAAATACGCTATAGCCTACTTAGCTATAGTATAGTAAGTTATTAGTAAGGGCTTTAACTCTCTTTAGTGCTATCTTATAGAGAGACTACTAGTTAAGATTATTCTAGTTACTTATTATTTTACTAGTTACTATATATAAATCTAGCTAAGAGCTAAGTAAACTACTTTATAAAGTAGTAGTAAGGTTATTAAACTAAATTAATAGCCTTTAGTAGTTAGGTAAATTAACTTATACTAATTTACTATAGGCTATGTTTTATTTATTAAGCTATATAGTAAGATTTTTTCTAGTAGTTAAGGCCTTTTACTAGTCTTTTACTAACACTTTACTATATTTATTATAAGTATACTTTATATACTTTTCTTTAGTTATTTTTACTACTATACTAAGCTTATTAAGCTATTTAGCTAGTAATTTATTAGATTTATAATATTTTTCTTAAAGATCTATAAATATAGTAGATTTAACTATATTAGCTATATCTTTAATATCTTTTTACTAAGTAGTATACTTATATACCTTCTTATAATAGTAGCTTATCTAGCTATTTAAGTATATAAGATTATATAAGTTAAGATTATTTAGTGTTATTATATATTTAGTTTTATATATAAGCCTATTAAGTATAGTTATAATAGCCTTACTTTTTACTATATATAGCTATATAGTTACTTATTAAGATATCTTAGTAATTACTATAGCTATAGTAACCTCTTAGTAAGTAGTAAGCTTATCTTTAGTTAAAGTATATAAATATTATATTATAAGTAGCTTTATTAGTTTCTTTAAATATATCTTAAGGATTAATTAGTCTACTACTATAACCTCTAGGTTAATATACTTCTAGAGATTATAACGCTTTACTTTTACTTAAATAGTATTAAGCTATATAAACTAATTACTATATAATTATAAGATAGTTACCTTATTATTATAGTTCTTATTAATTATTATAATAGTATTTAATTAGTAAATAGGTATATTAGTTATTATAGATATATATATTAGACTATTAATTATTAAATAGTAAGGATTATAATAGTTACTTAATTAATTCTATTATATATTATATATTTATAGTAAATTACTATAGAAATAGGGAAAACCCCTTATTTCTTAGTTAGGAAATCCCTAGCTAATCCTAGCGATATTATTAGTGGAGTTACTACTAGAAGTGGGGCTAATTCACTGCCTATTCCCTAACAATTCGCTATAGGGCAACTGTGTATTTGCCAGCTAATTCATATGTAATTCCGCCACATTTAACAGCATTACCTACATTATATAGTAGGATAGCAAAAGTATAGCTTAATCCCATATTTTACACTAAAACTTATAGTTCTTAGACTTTTCTTATACACTATATATATAGAAAAGAAAATATAAAATAAATTATATTAAGTATTAAAGACTACTCTTATATATATAAGGTAGTAAAAGCTTTTTATTATAAGTAGTTTATTATTTTTAAATACTTTATTATAATCTTAACTTTTTAAGAACTTATAACTTACTTTTATTAGTATTTTACTAATAGGTATATCTTTAAACCTAATAAAAATACTTTTAAGTACTATAGCTTTAATATATACTTACTATAAAAATTATTATCTTACTTTTATTAAGGATAATTAATATAACTTAAAAGTACTATTTTAGTTAATTAGTTATAAAATAAAGAATTAATAACCTTAAGCTAAGATCTCTATATATAGTATTAAGTACTCTAAATTATATATTTATAGGCTTCTAGCTTTTATATTATAGTAGTTAGCCTTAAATAAGCTTGTAAACGTAGTAAGTTTTAGTGTAGAACTAGGGATTAAGCTACACTTTTGCTTACCTACTGTACATACTCCGTAGTGTCCATTATACAACACGATGCAGTGCAGGTTGCCCGCCTCTGGGGACCACACAGTAGGGATTCACCACTGGTACCCTCCACAGCCACGGTCCACCAAAAGCAACCGATCCCTGTCACGTGTGGCGCCTCTCAACGTGAAATCTGGCCTTTTGTGCAATCTGGACACCTCAATCGTTTTTTGGAGAAGCCATTCATAAAGCCGACAGATCTTCCCTCCCACCGCTTAACCTTCAACCTCTCCCAATCCAACACCTGCCAAACCACCTCAATTCGATTGGGTGCGCAGCTAGTAGAAGGGAATCTCGTCAACCTTCTCTCCCACGTCTTCCATTGACGGCTTTTTGTTTTTTATTTTCTCCCCTATTTTTTTCATTATTGCCCAAAAGCTCGAGATACCACACGCGCGCAAACCATCGTCGCAAGGTAGCTTCATAGCACCAAAATCTCCCACAATGTCGAGATCCAGAAACTCAATGGCCTTTGGCTTCGGCCTCCTGGCCTGGATGGTTCTCCTCTTCACCCCCCTGGCTTTCGTCCAGACCGCTCAGGCTCAGGACACTGAGGACTACGGTACTGTCATCGGTATTGTAAGTTGCATATTCCCTGCTGGCCGCGCTTTCGGCGCTCCTGCCGCAACGAACAAGAAAAGACACCGTGTCCTAACCATGATGTCTCCAGGATCTTGGAACCACATACTCTTGCGTCGGTGTGATGCAGAAGGGCAAGGTCGAGATTCTCGTCAACGATCAGGGTAAGTCTAGACCGTCGAAGCTGTCTAAGCTCTCTCTGCCCCTGGCCTTAGCTCCAGACAGCACAACTGACTCTTCATCATAGGTAACCGTATCACTCCGTCCTACGTCGCCTTCACCGAGGAGGAGAGACTCGTCGGTGACGCCGCCAAGAACCAGGCCGCGGCCAACCCCCAGAACACCATCTTTGACATCAAGTAAGCTCTAACCCGGCTCCTAAACACTTGAGACACAACCTAACCAACTGTAGGCGATTGATTGGCCAGAAGTTCTCCGACAAGAGCGTCCAGTCCGACATCAAGCACTTCCCCTACAAGGTCATCGAGAAGGATGGAAAGCCCATCGTCGAGGTCCAGGTCGCCGGCTCCCCCAAGCGTTTCACCCCCGAAGAGGTTTCCGCCATGATCTTGGGCAAGATGAAGGAGGTTGCCGAGAGCTACCTTGGCAAGAAGGTCACCCACGCCGTCGTTACCGTTCCCGCCTACTTCAACGACAACCAGCGCCAGGCCACCAAGGATGCCGGTATTATTGCCGGTCTCAACGTCCTCCGCATTGTCAACGAGCCCACTGCCGCCGCTATTGCCTACGGTCTTGACAAGACTGACGGTGAGCGCCAGATCATTGTCTACGACCTTGGTGGTGGTACCTTCGATGTCTCCCTGCTCTCCATTGACCACGGTGTCTTCGAGGTCTTGGCTACTGCCGGTGACACCCACTTGGGTGGTGAGGATTTCGACCAGCGCATCATCAACTACTTCGCCAAGTCCTACAACAAGAAGAACAGCGTCGACATTACCAAGGACCTCAAGGCCATGGGTAAGCTCAAGCGTGAGGCCGAGAAGGCCAAGCGTACCCTCTCCTCCCAGATGTCCACTCGCATTGAGATCGAGGCCTTCTTCGAGGGCAAGGACTTCTCCGAGACTCTTACCCGCGCCAAGTTTGAGGAGCTCAACATGGACCTCTTCAAGAAGACCATGAAACCCGTCGAGCAGGTGCTCAAGGACGCGAAGGTCAAGAAGGAGGACGTTGACGACATCGTTCTCGTTGGTGGCTCTACCCGTATCCCCAAGGTTGTTAGCCTTATTGAGGAGTACTTTGGTGGAAAGAAGGCTTCCAAGGGCATCAACCCCGATGAGGCTGTCGCTTTCGGTGCCGCCGTTCAGGGTGGTGTCCTTTCCAACGAGGTCGGCGCCGAGGACATTGTTCTCATGGACGTCAACCCCCTGACGCTCGGTATCGAGACTACCGGAGGTGTCATGACCAAGCTGATCCAGCGCAACACCCCTATCCCTACCCGCAAGAGCCAGATCTTCTCCACCGCCGCCGACAACCAGCCCGTCGTCCTTATCCAGGTCTTTGAGGGTGAGCGTTCTCTTACCAAGGACAACAACCAGCTTGGAAAGTTCGAGCTCACTGGCATCCCCCCCGCGCCCCGTGGTGTTCCCCAGATCGAGGTTTCCTTCGAGCTCGACGCCAACGGTATTCTCAAGGTCTCTGCCCACGACAAGGGCACTGGCAAGCAGGAGTCCATCACCATCACCAACGACAAGGGCCGTCTCACCCAGGAGGAGATCGACCGCATGGTCGCCGAGGCTGAGAAGTACGCCGAGGAGGACAAGGCTACCCGTGAGCGCATTGAAGCTCGCAACGGACTCGAGAACTACGCCTTCTCCCTGAAGAACCAGGTCAACGACGACGAGGGTCTCGGCGGCAAGATTGACGACGAGGACAAGGAGACTGTAAGTTTGCTCATAGCCCTTGACCAGCCGCTCCTGATTACTAACGAAGCATCCAGATTCTCGAGGCTGTCAAGGAGACCACCAGCTGGCTCGAGGAGAACAGCGGCACCGCCACTACCGAGGACTTCGAGGAGCAGAAGGAGAAGCTGTCCAACGTCGCCTACCCCATCACTTCCAAGATGTACCAGGGCGCTGGTGGTGCTGGCGGTGATGATGAGCCCCCCAGCCACGACGAGCTCTAAATCCATAGATTTGTTGTTGCTTCGTTCGGGATTTAAAAAGAGACATTGCTCAAAGATATTCCATGATACAATCTTCGTCTCTGGTGTTGGCAGGTTGATCGGCGTCGGCAGCATGAAGCATGACATGACTTCACTATTGTGTACACTCAACGCGCATAAATGAGGACGTACTGAACGCATCTCGCTTTCCATGAACGTGCTTTACCGAAATGCTCCATATCGGTGTGAAATTATTCTGACGAGGGAAAGCTGTTACTTCCGTTTGTTTGTCTTCGATGAGTCCCCATCATACCCTGACATACTATAGGTTATATGGATGTTGCGAATTCAAAGGCTAGGCCGACAGCAATTGATAGGGATGTCCTGAGAGTTTGCTGTTAAAAGCCACTATGGCCGAATAAACACGATGATGCCGCCAGGCAGTAGGTCATAACATTTACAATCGGAGCCGTGATGCGCTCTGACCTCCGGCCTGAGGTGGCCTTTTTGCAAGCTTGGCATTGCAGATAGGCTGGACAGGAAGAACGTCAACCACTATGAACAGGTAGCAAAAAGTCCGGCATGGGAGATCTCCTAGATGTTTCTTCTCTATGGGAAGATACATTATCGGGGGCTGTTGGACTGACAAATATAAGAACGCTGCTGATGTGAAACGGGATTATCGTGCACCGAAGCCGAGGCCGAGAACGTCATCCGCCATGCCATCCCCCAGCACAACCTTACTTTAAACAAAGTTGCTTGGTTGATAAAGACACCTAGAGCATTTAATTATGTATTTAGTTCGAATGATTCTATGTCCTGGTAATTGCGCGCGTGGGCAGGCTTGAGGGGGGTGACGGGGCGACACCGACTTATACGCACGATTGCAGGAAGGCAACATAGACAGCTTCACATCGTTAAACCATTACATACAACTATACCTACTAGAATACTTAGGATCCTGTCCGCTCTCCTATAGATAAGCTAGTAAGGGCAGTCTTATCTATAAGAGACTTTGTTCTACTAATAAATCTGTGTAGGAAATAGAATAGACCTATAATTATTTTATAGTGCGATAGCGTTAGCCTCTTAAACTAATCTCTATTTCTACTGCCCTACTTATGGGGCCCTTATGCGCTAAGAACGCCTAGGGGCCTAACTATAGTTAGGCGTGTCTTTAGGGTGTATAGTACTAGGTATTCGGCTTAAACTAAGAACTAGTAATTAAAAACTAAGGCTTACCTTCTACTAGGTGCTTTTTTTTAACCTGAAGTTATAAAAACCTACTAGCCTTTTGCTATAACCTTGTTTATTTTATAAGATAATAGCTTCTTTAGAGTCTTTTAGTCTAAGACGTCTGTTAAGAGGTAGCCTTAAGGCCTAAAAAAAGTAATATAAAGAAAACCTTAGTAAATTAACATTAATCTAAGATTAAGCCTTAATTATAAAGAAGTCTTAAAAGTAAAAAGACTATATCTAGGACTAATAGCTTATATAAGTAATTTATTTTTATTATAAAAAGTTTATACTAACCTTTATTCTTAGGTTTACTACTCTTACTGAGGTTAACCTTAAGAAAACCTAAGTTAACTTTTACTAGAGGGTTAATATAATTATAAAGAATTACTAATTATTTTTTTAATAATTTACTAAAAAGTCTATTAAATAAAGAGTATATCTTAAGAAAGAATTTAAAAATAAAAAAAGAATTATTAATTTAACTATTATAATTATTAAGGTTTAAAAAACTTCTTTAGCTTATATAGATATAAATATAGTATAAAAAAGAGATTTAAAATATCACTAATAAATTTACTTATACTTAATTATTTTATAATAGTAAATAGTTTATTACTAGTCTAGTTTATTTACTATTAATAGTATAATATATATAATAAGTAAGCTAACTAAATAAGTAAGCTACCTACCTAACTATAACTATATTATATTTATAACTAATAAGTAGCACTTTAAAAATTAATTTAATTAAAACTATTTAGTATCCTCTTCTTTAAATATTTCTTTAGTAATTTAATATATTTATATATTATAACTAGTATTCTTATAAATAATATATATATATAGTAAGCTATATATTATAGTAAGCTATATATATCTTTCTACCTTTTAATTATTTTTATAAGTTAATTTAACTAGATTTTATTACTATCCTAAACTACTTTATAGGTTTATACGTTATATTTAGTCTTTTTATAATTACTATATTATTATATATATAGCTTACTACCCTTTATATAAGCCTCCTTTTAAGACGTTTTTTTACCTCTAGCCTTAATACCCTTTTTTTCTTCTTATAGTGTCTCTACTTTAGTTATTATAAAAGGTTAGCACTACCTTCTAATAGGTATATAGTAACTTAATATAATTAATCTAAGCTAAAGGGAAAAAGGGTTATTTTATAGTATACGCCTTATATATATATAACGTTAAATAGGTGTACTAAATAAGCGCTAGCTATATATATTATAGTAGGTAAAGCCCTGCTATATATATTATAGCCTTAGCCTATAATATATACCCCCTCTTCTGCCTGTTATTAGTAAGAAAAACCTATTAGCTAGGCTCTACCTTAGTAAGTATATAACTTATAAAATCCTGCCTACTATAAGTTAACTATATACCTTAACTGTTTTTTATTTTCTTTTATTTTTTTTAAAGTAGGCCTTTTTAATAATATTATAAGTATTTTATCCTGTTTTTTTATAATCCTATATTATTATATTACTTTACTAATATATCCTCTTTACTAAAGTTAATTTTAATAAGATACCTATAAGTACCTTTTATTCTCTAATTATAGGCATATATATATATACGTAATTTACTATAAATCTAATACTAACTTAACGTTTTATAGCCCCCTTTTACGCCTAGTTAGTTACTTTTCCTAAAGGGTAATAAGCTTAAGCCTATAACGCCTAAGACTTTTAGCTTACTACTATTACACTAGTAAGTATATAGTTATATACTTTTATAATATAATTTATTACTAACTTATCATAGTTAGCTATCCCCTTATTACTATCCCCCCTACTAGTTAAGAAGGTATGCCTTATAAAGGGCGTCCTTTAGGTTTTTTCTTACTAGTCTTATACTAACTACCTAGCTAAAGTCCTTATAGTATACTAATATACTAAAAACATATATAGCTTTAGTATATATTATACTACTTACTTTTTAAGTAACTAGGCTTACTTAAATAGTATATATTATCTTTATATATATTTAGGTTATATTACTTTTATTAACTTATTATAAATCTTTATATTTTTTATAGGTTTTTATAAGGCTATAGCTATTACTACTACTACTATTATTAATAGTCTTATAAGTAACTTTATTTTTTAAGACGCTTATACTACTACTACTAAGGCCTAGTAGGTCTTAGTATGTTCTAAGTAAAACATTACTTATATAGCTAAAAAGAGCGCTAAAAGTATATACTTATATAAGTAAGTAAAGTCTAAGGTATACCCTCTTATTACTATACTACCTTTTTTAGTAATTACTACTACTATTACTACTACTACTATTACTAACACTATAGTCTTTTTACTTAGTAAGCCTTACTATAGTAGCCTTACTAATACTTAGGCTAAGCGCCTTATTATAGCCTAAAAAAGTATTACTACCTTTTTAACTAATATAAGTTATTCCTTTCTTTATATAGTACTTATACTAATTATTATTTTATCTTATATAGTTTATTACTTTTATTTACACTTAAGGTATACTTTTACTACCTAAGCCTTTACCTAAGCCTTCCCCTAAGTTATAAGGCTGTTTTTATTACTTTTTATTAGCTTTATATACTTTTTATATACTTTAGGCGTATTAGCTTTTTTTACTTTTTTTACTAACGCTAATACGCCCTTTAGGGCTAGGCCCTAACTATAGGCTATAGCCTAATATAGATTTATTTACTTTATATTTATTTTACTTTAGTTATATATACCTTATATTTTTATTATACTTATAAATTAGGCTATATTTACTTTTATAGTTATCTAGAGCTACTATATCTTTAATAAGTATTATAGGCTTCTAAGTAGGCTTTATAAAACCTTTTTAATAGACTAGCGCTTAGCGCTTTTTTACTTTACTTTTCTTATACTAAGTAGTATAAACTATTTTATTTACTTACTATTTTTTATTTTTATTTTTAATAACTAGTAAGGGTTATATATTAGTAACGTTTTACTTTAGTAAGGGATTATTTATAATATAATATAGTAAATCTATATAAAACTTATTATAAATATTACTAAGTATATTAAGCTTTACTACTAAAGGTAAAATAACCTTAGTAACTTAATATTTATAATATAGCTAATTAAGCTTTTAGTTTAGCTTAAAAAAGTAATAGTTTTATATTAATAACTATACCTTATTACTTATATAAAAGCGCTTTACTATACTTCTTTAGTAATTTATAGATTTCTATATAGCGTCCTAGGCTACTACTATAGTAGCTTATACTATTAATATTAAATTTACTATTTATTAGATAAATCTCTAGGTAGTTATTTTATATAAGTTTACTACTTTTAGTATATCTTTTTATATTATAATAAGGTTAATATAATATTTATATTTTAAGAACAATAGGCTTATACTAGTTATAGCTACTACTTAGCTATTAATTACTAGCTAGGTAACTAGTAATAAATACGCCTAATCTTCTTATAAGTAACTAATATATATATATAGTATTACCTAGACTTCTTAGTTAAATTATTTTATTACCTTATTACTTTATAAGTAGTATAATATACTAAGTTATTATAAGATACTAATAAGTATATAAAAGTGTTACTAGAACTTACTTATCTAGTTACTCCTTTAGTTACTTACTATACTTTATAGTATACTATAAAAGTAAAAGTAGGCGCTTAAAAAGCGCTTTATATAAAGCTTAGCTTTTATTAATAGTATTAGCTTAAAGGTAACTAACTTACTAAAGTAGTTAATAATTACTTATATATATTTAGATTTATTAG